ATGTTTTCATCACTAGTAAATGATACATGCTTGAGGAAGTAACATTTACTCTGATTTGAACATTATGCAATGTATACATGTATCAAAACATTGGGTACCCTACAAATAAGTACCACAATTGTTCTGTATGAATTGAAAAAAGAAAAGAAAAGAAGATAGGGTAAGGGAGCACTTAGAAAACAACACTTCAGGGCAATGGTCTGTAGGGATCCTTTTAGGAAGGATAATTGAAGAAGACCTACCTGAGGAAGTGGTTATGGGCTGAGTTCTGAATGACAAATAGCTGGCCAGGGAAAATCTGGGCATTCCAAGCAATAGAACAGAGAGAACCACTAGTGTTAGGTTCTGAAGAAGGAACATGTTGTCATGCTGGGAGAAAAGAAGGAAGTCCAGTGTGGCTGGACCACCATTAATTGGGGAGAAGTAAATAGGTAGACCGTTGTAAGCCATACAAAGGAAATTTTACTCTAAGTTCATTGAGAGTTTTAAGCTCAAGATCATATGGTTTGGCTAAGTATCTACAAGATCTCTTCTGCTGTTGCATGGAGACTGTACTGCAAGGGGGGAAAGTACAGAAATGTGGAGAAAAAAGACTTCATATTTTTCTGTGCATATATTATCAGGATCCAAATCACATCTCTGAGGAGATCACCAGTATAAAACAGTGACATGATGCAAGAGGAGCCCCCACGCCTACCTGTTCACTAACCCTTTCCAGATAGGGGTTCACCTACCAAGCGGAAGGCTGGACACTAATATGAAAACTAATTAATCTTGAGTGAACAAGCGTGAGTTGTCAATCCTGGGATAACTGTGTTCTCTCTCAACAGAGGTCTACAGACTGGATGGAACCAGCTAAGTGGACCTTTCTTTAGAAAGTAAGCCTCTGCACACCTTCAGCAGCTTTTGCAGGAGCTATCCAGGGTCCTGGACTAGCTTACCCCAATGCTTTCTAAGGTCCAGGTGGACTGTGCACTCAGTTATCCTTGTTGGATGTAAGCACTCCCACTGCATTAAAACATAACCAGATTCCACTCTGATACCACGTTGTCCCATCTCAGCTCACTTGTGGGTTAACACCTGCCTTGGCCATGTATATTGGTCTAATGTTGCGTGACTTGAATACATGGATAGAATATGAAGTGGTAGCATAGTTAATGGTGTATAGATAGCTTTGGGCCCTGCTATGGCTCAGGGTTTCTGAAATAATAATGTAAGAGAAGTGAACTCAGTAGAACCATTTTTCTTTGGAGAAGCACTCAAAGATAATATCAGCTACCGAACCTATAACTGGATCTGCTTATGTAACTTATTCCATAGTCTCTATCTAAAACATACCTTAAGGCATAATCCAATGCCCACAATGATTACTAAGTTCGTATAATATTCAATTTCATCCTTATGACTTTAATAGCATTCTTAACTTCGCTTTTTTTTTAAAAAATGCATTCAACTGGAGGCCATTACTCAATTTCTTAAGTAATCAAGTTTATAGACTAAGTAGTGGATAAAAATCTGTGTGCTTTCAAGTCAAACACTTTACCTCTTCAACCGAAACACTTAGAACATGAGAATAATCTGATGTATACTCACTCCTAGCTCTCTTCTTAAGTAACATGAAAAACAGGGAGAGCCGCAGCCTCTTCAGAACTTTCCACCTACGTGCCAGCCCCTCCACTGTCCTTCAATGTGTTTGAGGGGCAGTGTGATTCATAAAGAGCCATAAAAGTTCAGTAAAACCTTTAGTTCCAAGTTATCAAGACTCTGATGAGAAAAACAGGACTGGAAACATTTAAACTTGCTCTGGCATATCCCCTTGTAGCAGTACAAACCAACACAACATATGAAAATAGCATTAAAATGGAAAGGGAATCAACAGCCTGGAACGTCTCTGTTCAATCTAACAGCAAATGAATCTTGTGAAGTTTTATTCACAGAACTCCCTGCACTCTGTCTTCCCTCCTGACCTTCACTCATATTCTCATTCTATAACTAAACATTCTGTCCTCCACCTTGCTCACTTATCTTATCCTTCAGACATAATTTTAATCAGGAAACTTTGAGAGCCTTACTCCTTGGGACTGAGTCAAGTTTAGACTTCTGTAAAACGCTGCATTCACCTGGAGCTTGACACTTGTCACACTGTAATTTAATTGCTGGTTTCTTTATTTATTTCTACTTCTACCTTATAAGCTCAATGAGAGTAGGGACCAGGTCTTTTCTATTATTGCATCCCCCTGGGCTTTGCATAGCACTTTTACTAGAAGAAATATTCAATGAATAAATTAATAAATTAATGAACTTAATAGTTTTAAGGTCCCTCTGTATCTCTAGAAGTAATAATTTTGCCTTGTTTCTAGGTTTCTTCCAGAACTTCGTACTCAATCTTCACCCCATGGAAGAAATTTTATATATATGACCACACCATGATATATAAGAACTTTCTGAACCTAGATAAAACTCTCATTTTTATATGGTACAATTTCAGTGAAATTCTACTATTTAGTCTGTGAATACAAGATGGAGATTAGTGTGTGTGTGTCTGTGTGTGTGCGCGCGCGCTTTGCATGTGTGTGTGTGTGTGTGTGTGTGTGTGTGTGTGTAAAGTATCAAAGAGTAAGCAGAAATTATTTTTAAAAATTGAACTTGGGGTAAAAACCATACCAATAAGCAGATTTTTCATTGATATTTTTTAAGTGTATCTTTCTTTTTTCTTATTTTCTGGTCAGATGTCTTAATGCCTGGAGATACTACTAAATATGATGGGTAGTTTATTACTAATGTTGAAAAAATATGATGAAAATAATTTGTAAAAATACTGCTATTTTTACAATAGCAGTATTTTTTTTGGAAGACAGCCATCTCTACTTTCAATTTCAATAAGTTTCCATTTATAACTGACACTATTTTCTTCTCTTACATTTATCTATTATTTTCCTTATCTTTTTCATAAAGTAACACTTTATCTATACTAACTTACTATACAATTATGTCGTGAGAACCAGTACTTTTGTTTCCCTCAAATAAACTTCCCAAACAACTCTAAATTCTGTGGGATTATGAAGTATATCTTTCACATTTTCTATTTCCCTCAGGAAAGTACAGAATAAGTTCTCAACAAAGCATGAATAATCAGAACTTTAGATTTAAAAACCACCCATTTTTTTTCCATAAACTGTGATATGTAGACTAAATAAAATCAAATAAATATTAAATCATAGATCAGTAAATGATGCTCTACCAGCTAATTCTGGTCAGTTGTCTACTTTACCAAAGCTTTATTGACATATAGCCACTCTCATTTATTTACATATTGCCTGTGATTCTTTGCAAGCTACAGTGCCAGAGGAGAGTACCTGTTACAGGGATTGAATGGCTTGCAGAAGCTAAAATAGTCACTATTGGGCCCTTTTAAAAAAAGAAAACTTTGTGGACCCCTGCACTACTCTAAATCATTTTTTCTGATGATGGAAATAAGTCCATGATATTTGACTTACCTAAGTATATAGCTGAACCTATTCACTAACCTTACCTTTATCAGATACATTTTCATTATTGGATTAAATGCTTAGTAAAAATAGTATTTTAGATTATATAAAATCAAATCAACAGTAAAACCACAAATGAAGATGTTTGTCAGACTTTTAAGTATTTATACTAACCTTAACCAAGATATAAATTTTAAATTTAATTTTTCTGAATTATGATAGTATCAGCTAGTAAAATTAACAGTGTGTATACACACACACACTTATTTATTGCCAGATAATATCACTAATTGTTATAAAAACACTGAAAAAAAGTACAAGTCTTACAGCAGAGTTTTAAAGATGTTGAAAGCAGTAAGTGTCAAGAAAAATGCTTTTTAAATGGATCACATTGACCTCACAGTCTACTCTATTAAGATATGAACAGCTTTAAAAAAAAAATTCCACTGGCAATGGAAGGAAAAATAAATAGTATGTACCATCCCTCAGTTTTCATGCCATATAAGAGCTGTGAAGAGCCATAGCAGAAAGTTCCTGAGAATCACTTCTTCTGTCAGTGTCTATTAATTTAGCAGATTCTAGTTTTTAACAAGTTACTTAAGTCTAGATTTCTGAAGAGGGAATTGTGAAAACTCTCTCAGAAATATCCTTAGTATCTATAGACCAAGCTTCACAGAATCTGAAAAAGTAAAGGGATAAGAACAGAGAAAAATATCCCCTTATTAAAACAAAAGGTAAATTCAGTAAGACTTTTTGATAAAGGATCTGTAGAATGGAGATTTTAGTAGTAAAAATGATAGACGTCTTCTAGGTTATCCTGTGAAATACCACAACATGGACAACCCTGGAGTAGACATAAAATGTAGCTGTCACTATATCAGAGAAGCTGCAATTGATAAACCATATACAACAAAAAGATTGAGCAGGCAGCAGAATGAAATGTTACAGTTGGATACTTTGTAACTACTTGGTACTGATGCTATATCCCCTATTTCAAGTCACTAGATATTTAGTCTGCTCATATTAGCAAAAGGTCATGTCATCCATTGAGACAGGAAAGAGATCGAAGAGAGGAAGGGAACAAGCTAGATAGAAATGGTCTGGACTAAAGATCAGAACAGAATACCAACCTGGATAAGGCCAAGGTAAGATAACTATGCACAAACAATATAGTGCATAAGCTTAGTTGCTTGCAGAACAGGAATGTCCATCCGCCAATTCCCAATCAGGGCAGAGACATTTCCTTTTATTTCAGAGACCCAGCTACTACAGTCCCCCTCTATAGAATTTGTGGAAAGTGTAGGGACCTTGCCAAATGGAGGAAGCAGAATTACTCAACCACAGCTTCCCTGGCATCTGTCAGCTCCTGTGAGATTCCATTTCTTCTCTGTGATTCTACCAAAGATGCTAGTGGGACCCACTGGTGTTAAGTAGCTGATTGTGTCTTCCTTCCTTGGTCATTTCTGATCTTTGGACCAAACATAGAATAAGTTGATTTCAACACACTATTACCTTGAATACTCCTCTTGAAGAAAGCCTTACAACCCTCACAGGACCAGACTCCATAGTGGTAGCCAGAGGCATAGTCATTGCATACTGCACAGTAGCGAGTCTCCTTGGCAGATTCCAAGGCCAGGCTTCCCTTGTCACTGTTACTGGTCAATCTCTCTCTGCCACTCTGGCGACGATTATCTGAATTTGGCCTGAGGGAGAAAAAGGGAAGAAAAAGGTGAGTCCATTAGCATCAGAAAAAACAAAATATGTATTCTCCTCTAAAGAATAAGAGGCTTAGGAGATGAGCAGATTCACTTTATCCTGACATTTTGAAATAATGAATCATAATGTAAGCTAATCTTTTGTTACTTCTTGCTGTTTGCTGCCACAAAAGGTGTTTGCCTACTGTATTAACCTTGAGGGAAAAATTGTTTATTGCAAACTTGCTTAAGAAACAGACTGTCTATCCCCCAAAAAAATGCTACCCCTAAAAAAAATGACAAGATGAAATTAGCTGGTTTCTAATAAGCGTCTTCATTTTCTCAAAATTTACAATTAAATCAGAACTGTTAAAGGCGAAGGCTCATTCTGATTCTAGACCACAGAAAGGGTCTTTAGGAAATAGAAACAAAGCATAGGACAGCTGGAGCATTTGAAATTCCAATGAATCGGTAGAATTGAACAATGTAGAACACATGTCAAAAGATCAACAATATAAATTTTTATGTTACTGTTACCAGGTAAGCCTGGGTACGGATTTTTAAAACTTGACTATAACTTAAGGGTGCTGTTCTCCACTATTCAAAGTCCTCTTTAAGAACATGTAGAATGAGAAGAGTGGAGGAAGACTGATGGTTACCTCCACCTTTAATGATTTCATGGAAGAAGCATATCCCAGAAATGAAATTGAAAAATAAACAGAAACAAAGCATGGTACTAGGAGAACCAAGAAAATGGGGAAGTAAAGAGCTTTAAGAATGATTCAAGGGCACTCAATAATGCCAAATGGAACAGGGAAGTCCAAGGAAACAAGCACTGATAAAGTGAGTTTGAACATTTGACTAAGAGAACATTCAGCAAGGAGTTCTGGGAGAAAGGATAGAGGTTCCAGCCAAACCCAGTGTGGACACAAAGGGAGGATGTGAGAAGATGAATGAGGGCCCTACCTTGGAGAGTCTGATGGGAATGGCTAAAGAAAGACTTTGTATAGTATTTAAAGAATATAATGCCCCCCCCAAAGGATTTTTATAGTGGAAGAGGTTACAAAGCCCTCATGCAAACTGAAGGGAATAGACCAGCCGGGACAGAATAGATGAAGGCACAAAGAGAATAAAAGAACAAGGCAAGAAGGAAACTAAAGAAGCTGTCCAAGGAGCCACCTGTGGGAAGATACTTTGAAGAAGACTGGAAGAAAGGAGGTATGGGAAGAAGTAGATGAGAAGTTCGCATTTCTCCTCTGGCCAGGTATAGAAGCAGTAGTTAGGGCGGCCTGGGATTGTCTAGACCTGTGACAACAAATACAGGTTGAGTGTAAGGGATTGGGGGTGGAAGGGGGTTGACCAGAGGGCAGCACAGTGCCTGGAATGTAGCTGGCACTCAATGATACACATAATGAATGAAGAGTGTGTACAAGGTGATGGGGAAACAGAGGCTGGCAGATATTGTAAAGGTAGATGGGGTAAAGGTTCCTAGAAGATTTTCAAAACGAACCTAAGAAGAGATACAGTAAATTGAAGATAGAGGTCCCAGGATCTCGTGGTTAAGGAAGCTCCAGAATCCTTCTTCTATTTGCCACTCAAACAACCAAGCCATGCTGAGTTCAACCGATTCCCCTCTTTACAGCCCTTTTTTCTTGTCACTCAGATTTTATAACCCTTACCTGCCCTTCTCACTTACTAATATTGTACACAATTTTTTGTGTGTCTCCAACTACATTTGCCATAAAATTCACAAAACATTGGTCCCTTGGGTTAAGTACATCTGACTTTGCCAATTTTTTTTTCCATTTGGAATAACTTAGCTCTGAGGTTGGTAGCCTCAAATAGGAATTCTTTATTTTTTAATGATCCTGAGAGAGCACTGGCCCTCAGTTTTCAATCCTAGTTCATATTTTGTTACCCATCTCTTTCCATTTCACCACTCTGCTGTTGGATGCCCCTCATCAACCACAGATCTTTTTACAGTTTATTTACTAATGTCTTATGCATGAGTCAAGTCAGTAGGAAGCCACTGTGAATATTTAACTATAGGAATTCAATCCCTTGGGGATGTGGGAGTAGATAATGAGAAAGCATGAAATGGATAGACATACTGTCTTAGAAACTTTATTAATTGTTGCAGACAAGTACCTAGCTCAATGCCTAGCACACAGCAAGCATTCAATACAAGTGCGTTGAATGAAGGAATGAACGAACGAAAGGTATGCATGGGCAACTATTCCAAGATGTCAAATATACTCCCACAATTCTCATACAATAAAGTACAATTGGCTCCCAAATCAAAACAGCTTTTAACTTTCAGTAGTCAACAGGTGGACTGGGAAAGGGGAGACATGCAACAGTTTGAAAAAACTCTCACATAAACATTGTAGCCTAGAAATATAGAAAAAAATAATAAAAAGATATGTCATGAATGCATAAAATATATACATATGTAATAGTCTATTTTATCACTACCATAAGTTTTAAAAATTCATTATGAAAAGTTAAAAGGTATCCAAACTTAGCCACAAAAATACAAAATCTAGTTGGCACCAGGTACAGTACAGAAATGTAAACAAAGGTAAAGAATTAAATCATAATTGGATAAAACTAACTGTATACACTGTACTACTGTCATAATTTCATAACCACTTCTAGTTGCAGCTAGCTCAAGTGTTGCCAATATCCACGAAAAACACTCATGAAATGCATATGGCAGTAAAAAAGAGAAATCTCATAATTCACGAGTAATTTTCGTCACACATAATATATATAATATGTAAAACGTGTGTTCAAGTTTAAGTCTGTTTATATTTTATTGTTTAAGTCTGTTTATGGTATCGCTAAGGCTTCTGGTTAAAGGGAGGCTCCTAGTAGTAGGATTTGGCGCAGTCAAAAGTTATTCTTGGGAGTTTGACTGGCAGTAGGAGGGCAGAGAAGCCCCAGGGAGCCCTGAGCAGTCCCTCTGCCACCTCTGGCTTGTCACCATCACCCCTGCCCGGGGAACCGTAACCACTACCAGAGCTGCAAGGCCCAAGCCCGGAAGGCGGCAGGTGCAGCGGCCACCAAGCGCAGCACCAAGGACAGCGGCGCAGGAGCCTGGCGCGGGCGGCCGCACATCGGCTGCACCTACCGGTGGGGACACACCTACCGCAACCAAGGTTTGGGTCAAAGGGTTCAATGGAAGAAAAGGACATGGTTTCATTAGCGGGAATAACACAAAGAAAGATAAATGTATATGCCAGACCGCCACAAAGAAGAGTAACCGAGATGTCCCTGGGCAGGGTCGGAGGAGAGACGGCGGAGTTGGATGCCATTGGGGAAAAGCGTGCGAGGCAGCCCAAGGCGCTGCTGGAGCCCCAATTCAAGGCATTAACTATGCGACAGGCATGACCATTATATGTGCTATCCACACAATCAACAGCAGAACTCCAGAATAGAGAGAGCGCGAGAGAAGGAGGGACCTGAGCGCTCCCAAAGTCCGTGCCCAACAACACTGGCCTACCACGGGCCCAGGTCCCCACCTTACTTCACGTGGAGACCCCAGGGGCATGGACCACAGTATTCCACCCCTTCTGTGCAGGGAGAAGCCATGCAGGGCGCTAACAGGGGACAAGGTGGACCAGAAAGACAAAACACGAGCAAGGGCTATAGACTGAGGTTGCTCCAGGCCCTGCTCACCAAAGGCAGCTTGGAGAGGGCCACAGTGAAGAAGACAGGGAATGTCTTTACCTGTTGGTCAAATAACTCAAGCTACATAGTCTATACAGCATAGGGTTTTTACTATTTTTACCTAAAGACATGTCTTTTTAGTAATGAGAAATGTGTTCTTTTTAAAAGCATAGGTTTTTCTTTCTTTAAAATTTTGTTTCATATATGATCAAATTGAGTCTTTTAAAGAATTTTATTTTTAATGTGTAATAAAAAGCTTACAACTTGATTTTTTAAATAAACAAACTTTAAACTCCTGGTAAATAAAAGTCTTAAATAATTTTCGAAGTTATATTCAGATATTTTAACTGAACAGGAGGTCAGCACCTCTAACCCCTACATAATTCAAGGGTCAGCAGCACTGCATTTTTTAAAAAACTGTGGTAAGATACACATAGCTTAAAATTGACCAACTTAATCATTTTTAAGTGTATGAGTCAGCAGTGTTAACTATTTTTACATTGTTGTGTAACCATCTTCAGAAATGCTCCACGTTACAAAACTGAAACTCTAAACCCATTAAACTCCCAATATCCCCCTTCCTTTATGCCCTGGCAACCACCATTCTGCTTTCTGTTTCTAAGAACATCACTATTTCAGATGCCTCCCATAAGTGGACTCATTCAATATTTCTTTTTGCTGTTGTTGTATGTTTGCAGGGGGGGTTCTAGCTTGTTTCGTTTAGAATAATGTCCTGAGGTCATTGTGGATAATTCTGCCATAAACATGGATGTACAAGTATATCTTCAAGACACAGATTTTTCTATTCTTTTAAATTTATGCCGAGAAGCAGCATTCTTGGACCACCTGATATTCTGTTTACTATTTTGAGTATCCATCATACCGTTTTCCATAGTGGTTGCACCCTTTTCTATTCCCTCCAAGGCACAAGGACTCTGACTTCTCCATGTCCTTGCCAACACTTGCTATTTTGCCCATTTGTCTTACAGTGGCCATCCTAGTGAGTATGAGAGGAATGCTGCGATTTTTTACATCACCTTCAGCATTGTGTTCCTCCCCTGCCCGCCACTCCTAACCCCCACAGACTTGAAATATCTCAGCCTTTCTCTGGACTCTCTGACAGGTTTTTTGGTACTTCTCTTCTGCTGTTAGCTACATTAATCCTTCCTCTGATTTATTTTCAACTTTGTTGCTGTCTGCAAAGTTCCTTGTGTCTAATTCATCTTTGTAATGCCAAGTGCTTAGAGCATAGTGTCTCATCCATAAGACAGACTGAATAAATATTGATCACAAATAATTAATCCATAACTGGACCAATGATGTGGTCATTTTCACAA